AAATAGAATTGAAGGTGAGATAAGAGTAAAGAATTCAACAATTTGTATATTTGACGCCGGGTAGGATAGTGATTATCCTATTGGCTTGTTATAGCAGATGATTCGCAAGAAAAGAATGACAGAAAATGCCCAAAAAAATCAGAGAAAATACTCTGAATTCAACTCAATATTATTAATAATGCAGAATAATGAAAATTGACCCACAAGCCGAGTTAAATAGCTGCGAAATACGAAATTATGGGAAAATTACCAAAAATGGCAAAATCCCGAAATTATACCAAAATAAAATATTAAGTAAAAAAAGTAAGTTCCCAAAAATTTGGCTAAATTCGAGTTTCTAACATATGAAAAAAAGGAAACGAAATATTACCATAAATAGTAAAAAATAACTTAAAATTGAATTTTGAAAAGGAAAATAGTGAATTTTGGGCTCGAAATTGACGTCTGGCCATGACGTGCGCGCCAAAGAGAGCTTTCCAGATTGGGATCATAATAGCGATTCTGATAACCGTAACCAAAGTTATGGCCAAATTACCAAAAACGCATCAAATTCCCCCAATTAAGGAAATAATGGCGATTCACTTTCCATCTTTGCGCCGATCCGCCATCTCATGGTATCTCAGCACCATCTGACAAATCAGCATCACTCGACTCGGATCCTCTTGCATCAGTCGCCCCGGGTTGGAAAGAACTTGCCCTCGAGTTCACAGTAACTTCATCGGACCCCACAAAACAAGGACTTAGGTGTTTTAAATTGAAGACGTCAGAGGTCTTCAAATGACTAGGGAGGCGCAACCTGTAAGCATTATCATTGATCTTCTGCAGCACTTCACAAGGTCCAATCTTCCGCTCCTTTAACTTATTGTATTCCCCAGCTGGAAAATGATTACGAGTTAATACTGCCCAAACAAAATCACCAACATCAAACAACACTTGGCGTCGATGACTATCTGCCCGAACTTTGTACTTAGTATTACTATCCTGTATGGACAGTTTCACCTGCTCATGGATACCTCGAAGATGTTCAGCCATCTCATCAGCTTTGTTATTGAAGTGACCCACACGTGGAATTGGAGCCAAATCAAGTATTTCGGATGGGTTCCGACCATAGACAATTTCAAAAGGACTCAGTCCGGTGGTTCTATTCCTCGATCGGTTATAAGCAAACTCTGCTTGAGGTAATGCCAAATCCCACTACTTCGGTTTAGTCCCGGCTAAGCTTCTCAAAAGATTTTCCAAACTTCGATTCACCACCTCAGTCTGACCATCCTTTTGGGGATGGTACGCGCTGCTAAAATTCAATTTCGTTCCAAGTTTCTCCCACAAACTCCTCCAGAAATGACTAATAAACTTAGTGTCACGGTCAGAAGTAATTGACTGCGGAACACCATGTAAACGCACAATCTCTTTGAAATAAAGATGAGCAATTCGAGTAGCATCCATTGTCTTCTGGCAAGCCACAAAATGAGCCATCTTTGAAAATCTGTCAACCACAACAAGAATGGAATCCATTGCCTGCTGTGTACGACGTAAGCCCAAGACAAAATCCATACTGACATCAAACCAAGGAGCTTCAGGTACGAGTAATGGTGTGTACAATCCAACATTAGTAAGAGCCCCTTTAGACCGCTGACATACATAACACCGCTCCACATAATGCGCCACATCACTGCTCAACTTGGGCTAGTAATAATCAGAAGAGACTAATGCCAATGTCTTGTCTCGCCTAAAATGTCCTTCGTTATGAAGTTCACTAATAATCTGCTGCCTTAGTGAACAATCCGAAATGCATAACTGCAATCCACGAAACAGGTAACCATTATGTAAAACAAAATCATGTCGGTGATTATCAGTTACCTCCCGAATTATCTTCCCAAATGAAGGGTCCGCAGCATACATATCAGGAAATGCCTCAAATCCGACAATCTTGGTGCTCATGGTGGTGAGGAGTAATGTGTGACGGCTCAATGCATCTGCTACTCGATTCAAACTCCCTGCTTGATGCCTGAGTGTGAAAGTAAACTCCTGCAAGTACGCCACTGTTGTTCAATTTTGTTTCGCAAGTGTACGATCCGTAACAAGTAATAGTGGACCTAAGAGTCCGGTTATCGATCCCACGAGAACTATTTT